TTTTTTATTCCGTTTTAATTATGTCTATTTAAACCGCGTAACTTAAGCTGTTATGCGAGTCTTCTGACCAATGGCGACCTATTATTGACTAAAAATCGATGCATAATTTAAAATGTATATTTCAAACTTTATTATGTATACGTTTACTAAGCGTCGATCTAACATTTGGAACATTGACTTACATTAGTCAGTATAGTAAACCTCTAATCAACCTTAATTAAACGTAAACATTTTTTGATTTAAAATTTACGCTTTAAATCTTTTAATATATACGTTTAGTAAACGTCGATCAAACGTTTACAATATTAACTGAGGTATTGTGGTTTATCCTCCTCCGGCTAATTGCCATATAGACGCCACATTACCAAGGCCCGCAAAGACAGGTTCGGTTCCCCAAGGAACGTCATAACCCGCTCTACGGACCAAGAGTAAAGTGAGTTTAGGAAGAACGAAGATATGTTAGGGTGAAAGACAGAAGTCGTGTTAGAAAGACGGCATAGAGAAAGCGGACAGGATTACACTCGATGTTAGGAGGTGCAATAACGGTAACACAAATACTAAAATGAAGTTTAGATGTGTTTTTTTCCTTATTTACAATATTAACTTCCGTATTTACAATATTAACTGACATAAGTTTTTATTCTAAACGTTTGATCGACGTTTAATAAACGTTTATTATATTATAATATAGTAACATAGCCATTGGTCAGAAGACTCACATAACAGCTTAGATTACGCGGTTTAAATAGGCATAAGTAAAATGAAAAAAAAACTTATTAAAAAATTATTTTTATTGACTAAATAATTAATTAGGCTTAAATGCGTTTTTAAGGTTCACTTCCTTACAACAACTGAAAATAAAACGACGGATAACTAAATAATAAGCGAGTATCGGGTGCGCCATTTTAATTCATGGAAGTTAAAAATCTCTTATCGCGACAATCTATCTTCCTAAATGCCAACAAATCAATGGACTCCGTTGTTTTAGAAATTATTGATGTCGACATTGACACAGTTAAAAAATATGAGTTGCTGGTCTCTCGTTATGAAAATCCTGCTGCAAGGACATTTTTCGTATGTTTTTAAACAGTTTTAACTCATTTTGTAAATGCTAGTATGATTGTGTAACAGTAGGTTTTCATCTTTGCAATAATCAAGAGGTTTGATAACTAAACACACCATCCAGCGGCACACAAGGAGGATTCTCAATAATGCATAAACCAGAGAAAACAGTGATCCAAAATATATGTTCATGAGTTTATAAATTTTATAAGTAATTTTTAATTTAATCTTAATGTAAATTTTCATTTTCTGCTATTGAGATTAAATTTAAAAAATACTTGATAAAAATTGTTACTATTAAACTTCCATAAATTTAAAGATCCACATAGCCCCCAATACCCACAGTTAAAGTTAAAAAGTTATAATACAATTTTAGTTATATAAGTTTTAAAGCTTATATAAATTGAAATTACGTTACTAAATCAAAGATACAATTAGACAAGATCTAATAGATTTAATATATGTTTACTAAGACTAAATCTAAACGCTTTATATCCGTCAAGCTCTGACGTAAATTAGACAATATGTGAACGTTTTATACACGTATAAAAATCCTATATTAGACGTCTAAAATAAGTTTGAATATAGACGTTAAATGGACGTTTGTTCTAAATGTTAATATGGATTTCATTCTAAACGGATAATCGACCAAATCAGATCGTTTTGTCGAAACGTTGTTTTAATAGACGTTTGTGTGTTCACTAGGTATATTACTATATTAGGGTAAAACCACCTACAACTGGCCAGCACTAATTCCTGGCCTTATAACAACCTTTGTTATAACAAACTGTAGTTCCAAATATAAAAGTTAGATTATATTTTCATTAAAAAAAAAATCACTAACTAAATATTTAAGACAGAAAACTTATGTATACATAAGATCATCGCTACGTTATTTTATCTGAGTTTGAAATTTATACTAATTTTGTATGGCAAATATTCTGACCTTGAAAACAAAAATGCGAAAAAACGTTTTGCTGATTTGTCTTGTTTAATAACAATCATGAAATTTAATTCAATTCTATTAATAAAAACATTTTACTTTGATTTGAAATGATTATTACTTTATTTGGTAGTGTTTATGTTGTCATTGTTGTTGTTTTTGTTACCCATAAATAATTATCTAATCGTGGCCACATGTCAACCTATTCTTGACCATGAATAAGGTCTTGTTATAATATACCTTTAGGTAGAATAAAAATTTAAGTTTTAATTTTAAAGTTGAATCTAATTTTTATTATTTACATTATTTATTCTTTTTTATTATTTTCATACTAAAAAGTAGTAATCACATAAATATAGCAAGTTAATGTTTTTTTAACGTCGTCTGCTAATTTGAAAACATTAAAGTATTGTGAAGCGTTTTAATTAGACTCGAGACAATTTATTAAATTTATATTTAAAAATATTGTCACTACTTTTACTTAGTAAAACGTGATCGCCAGGAAAAAGTTCGTAATGACCATGTTTTGGATCTCCGGCCATGATATGGTGTTTTTTACGCCTTGTTGTATTTGTGCTAAATCTTGTTAATTTATCGACAAAAATAACCAAACTTGCCATAAGTTGTATCTCTAGAAATTTTTTAAAAGTTTAGAAATATTTTTTCATGATTTGCGGTAATATACGACGCAGTTTAAAATTAAGTGGCCAGGAATTGGTGGTTTTACCCTATAATTTAATAAACGTTTATTAAACGTCGATCAAACGTTTAGAATAACAACCTATATTAGTCAATATTGTAAACGTTTGATCGACGTTTAATAAACGTATATATTAAAAGATTTAAAGCGTAGATTTATAATCTATAAATGTTTACGTTTTATTATTTAGAAATAATTGTTATCCGAATAAAGTTAAAACCACAATGCGCACGTAAATTAAAACCATGTTTATAACTGTTATATTAATAACATGATAAATGCGTCATTAAAGATTTGAATATAATTCAATACTCAAAATAAAGTTTTTGTTACAAGTAAAAGAAATTCAAAATAAGTATAATTAATTATTAAATAATGTTTTTTACCTTTTAGTTTTAAAAAAAGGGGCGACACTTTTTACACTTTAAATTAACATAAAAGTCAAACAATTTTTAATTATTACTTAAAAGTGTTTACTAAAACGTTTAATAAAAATATAAACCTTTACATGTAATATAAAATGTTTTAATGCCCGTGGGTACTGTAAAATTCATTGAATCTTTAACGTTGCGTTAAAGTAATAAGCATATCTTATTAATTTTCATTTTCAACTAACGGTTCTTATACGAATATGAATCAGCATTAAATTATTTTTCTAACGATATATAAAAAGGATATTCAAAAAAAATTTTGACCATCAATATTACTTCCCCGTTTTAATTAGGCATAAAAGTATATCTTCCGATGCACCAATTGATTGGGCTTTTTTTTGGTGAAATATCTTATGTTTAGTTCACTTGTGCAAAGTTTTAGTTTTATAGTATTTTATTCTAGGTTAGGGTAGTTTTTTTAGTTAATCCAGCGTACTATTAGATTATCATCAACTGACTTTAGTTAAGGCACTCAAAAAGTGGCTTCAATCATTTGAATTCATTGTGTTGACTTCTTTCTACCACAAGGCTCTCATGTCTCAACAAAGTCCTTCTTCTCAACTAGTCCTCCTTCTGGGTTAGCTTCATTTGGGTTTCCAAATGATTTTGTTAAGAAGAGGACAAGGCAAAGGAAAACACTTCAGGGCGAGTCGATAAACTCATCCCATTTCCACGAAGACGAATCAAAGCGTTTTGAGATATTTTTAATGTTGCTCTTGACACGCTGCTCCAGCAGATAAGATGCAGAATGGATGCAGCTCAAAAAACAACGGATATGTTTTTGTTCATATTTGGTGTTCTCCATCTCCTTTTAGTGATGAAGAAAAAGTTAATCAGAATCCTGGCAAATTTTTATGTAAATGACGTAAAAGAAAAGGAGTTGATTGAAGAAATCCGTCATCTAGATGTTATGAAACGAACAAATACTTTTAGACATATAGAATTTCTTTCTGTTGCTCAATAGAATCACCAGAAAGGTCTTTAGTCAATATTTCCTTTGATCTGCATTTTGCTTCGCAATTTCAATGCAATTCCGATTTGAGTGACTGAAGGAGAGCGCTCTTTCAGTAAGCTTGCTTTCATCAAATTCAAATTGCGATCAACAATGACTGAAAAACGTCTTTTTTTTTTTTTTTTTTTTTTTAAGTGTCCCAAGAAGTCCTTACGGCCTTATCACAGAGCACCGCGGAAGAGCATTTAATAGGAAGTTCACGCCTCCTTCCCAACCGATGTCGCAAAACTTGCTCAGAGGTGGGGTTTGTACCACGGATCTTACGTTTCTGAGGCAAGTGCGCTACCACTGCGCCACGGCTGCATATCTTACAAACCTCATGGTGATATCAATTGAAAATGACCTCGCTAAGACTTTATCGTACGAAAATATCATCTCTACACCTTTTCAAGATGTAATTGAGAAAACAAAAATTGTAATTAAGAATCGTAAGATGTAATTGAGAAAACAAAAGTTGTAATTAAGAAACGTAAGATGTAATTGAGAAAACGTAAGTTGTAATTAAGAACCCAACAGGCATTCGAACATTTAATCAACGTTTAGTTAATGTTCGTTCTAAATGTTTAGATTTAATTTAGTTTTGATTTAGAACGTAGGTCAATCGAATGTTCCATTTAAACCATATCTAAATGGTTCGTTTTAAACGCTATTTAAACTCCATCTAAATCTTTCGTTTAAAACTTCGCGACGTTAAATTTTATTTTACAGCGCTTATTTAAAGAAGCTTAAATAAACAAAAAATACCGATAAACGAATCAAACTTTTCTTTCATTTAAGCTGCTTTAAATAAGCAAAGTAAAGAAAAGTTAAACGCTGAACGCAGTATCTAAATACTCATAAATAAATCAAACATTAAACATATAATTTTTTATTTAAATAAGTTTTTTTACAAGTAAAATCATTTTATTTATTATTATATGCATTATCGAATTCCTCATTATGATCGGCTCCATAATGATCATCGTCATCTTTGTTTGAACTGATTAAGCCTCTTCGTTTTAAGAATTAAAAAAAGGACATAACCTTTCCTATTTCCACCTATACGGAAGGGAGCCATTCTAAGATGGGAATCAATGCACGATACCGTATTGCGGATACCGAAGTCATACAATCTCTTTTCTAAAAATAATAAAAATAACTAAATAAACATCTTTATTCTATCCATAGTTTTGTAGATTATAGAAGATTGTACATTAGTACAGTGTACATTGAGTAACTATAGTAACAATTGATAGAGAACCTTTCTTTAAAACTCTGTAAAATATATAATATTTATATAATAAAAACCTTATTAAAAAAACATGTAGTTATCGCAGTTATGGGTTGATAAGTTGCATAACTGCAAGACAACTGCAGTGCCCTTCCTAAACATAGTAATACAATGTTATATAGTATTCTATTACTTTATAACAATATCTGTACAACATATATATATATATATATATATATATATATATATATATATATATATATATATATATATATATATATATATATATATATATATATATATACTTTAATTATTCACCTCCCAAGGCCCGAGGGAGCCACTTCATTCAAGGAGGTTACTCATTTTATATATATATATATATATATATATATATATATATATATATATATATATATATATATATATATATATATATATATATATATATATATTCATATGTATATATATATAAAGTTTGATAACTCCCATTATTCATTGTCTTGAGGAGCAGTAGGCACACTCAGTATCCTGTTTGATTTAAACTTTCTATTTAATTGAAATATTGTGGAGATACCGACATTTTCACTACAATATAAGTAAACATGTAAAAATAAAATTGTAATTCTTAAAATCTTTAAAGTTAAAAACTAAACAACAAACATAATAATTAAAACTTATATATCAAAATCATATACGTACTAACACGCAACTCAAGATAAAAATTAAGTATTACTTGATCAATCCATTAGTTTGTGCTTTGATATAGTAGTTATGTGGATAATGGTATTTTAGAACTCAAATTTCGGGCTTAGAGAAAAGAAGACTTTGCAAGTACTGATGGGTTAGCTACAATGTAAATAATTATATAGATAAATTATGTATACAAAGTTATTTTAAATAAAAATTTACTAAAACATTGTAAATTTGATTTTAAGTTGGGAGAAATTCAGTCACAAACAAAAATGTAATTTTTAATGATTTCGTTAAACTTTTTAAATCAACTTATCAGGTTTGAAAATATTAAAAAGATAAAAAACGGGTTTTTATTATTAGACATCAAAACATTTTTCTTTTGATGTTGCATAATTATGCAATAATATTTTTTTTGTTTACGTACATAAAATACGATTCCACCTAAGTATTTATGAATTTTTGCAAAAATCTTTAAACACATAAACTGTTACATGTTACATACTGTTAATGTTACTTATTTATAAACTTTTTAAACTCCGTTTCATAATCTTTCAAAAGCCAACTGCTTTCAGTAACTTTTGTCCATTTATTGTCGTGCAGTGTCGAATTTATAATCGGTGTAAAATCGACGAGTCCTCTATTTAACTGAAGCTTTCGAATGTTCTTGCAACTATCATTTTAAACAAATAAAGCACAATATTACGACGTGTCGCATATAGATGTTATTTAAAAATATATAGATAAAAAAATGACATTAAAAACATTATTATGCTTTGTTTTAAGTCGTTTATCTTTTACTGTCGAAGATATAATTACACTGGCATAAAAAAATGTCAAGTTTTAAAAAATCCAATTATAGGGTAATCTAATTCTCTAATTCTCATCGAAACCAAAGTATAAGATCTAAAATTACCGCATAATAAAATTAACTTATTGTCAATTCTAATAGCATGTTTTGGAAATTCCAAATTGGAAAAGAATTATATTGTTATTAAATAGATTGTTATATTATATTATAATATATTATAATATAAATTTATAATAGCTATAATACTATTTATAATAGCTATATCATTTATTCTATTATAAATTTATATTATAATATATTATAATATAAATTTATAATAGAATAAATGATAAAAGAACACATAAGCTATGAAAAGTTAAACTATATGAAATAGTTTTAAAGTGAATAAAGTACATAATAATTTCAAATGGGTTCATTTTATTAAAAAGTTTTTAAAGTTATTATTGTAAAAGTGAATACATAGATGCAATTTATTCATAAATGAAGAATTTCTAAAGACAAAAATGAAAATTTACATCATAATGATCATCTAATTACATTGTAAATATCTCTCTCACACACAAACATGCTCTCTCTGGAAGTTCTTTTTTTTACAAATATGTTGCTATCATATATTTATTATAATAATAATAACAATAACAATATTAATAAATGATATTATTATTTGTAGTAGTAGTAATAGTTGTATTACTTGTAGTAGTGTAGTAGTTATACTAGAAATGTTATACCTACACGTGTAGGTAGGTGAAACTGACGGTAGAACAAAAAAGTTAATTGAGTGTTGCTGTGTACACTTGTCAGAAAATTTCTTGATAAAGTATTAAACATAATTCTGGGAGCAAAGAATAAATTTTATATATATATATATATATATATATATATATATATATATATATATATATATATATATATATATATATATTTAATTTGCTATTTATTGTTAAAGAACATTAAAACTTATTTTGTAAATATACTAACTTAATTAAAACTTTTCTTTACAACATAAATTAACAAAAATGTTTACAAAGATATATACATATATGTTTATTAATACTAAAAAAATTATTTAAATTAGTTATTAGTTTAGGCTAATATTTTAATTTCAAATGCTATGCTTTCACATTGGACAGGATCATGTACTTTCCTATTGGTTGGCCTGTTATCTATAACTCGTATCAACAGACTGGTTTATATGATTCTTTAAAAGCTATTCGTTTTAATAGATCAAGATCACTTTTTATTACTTTGTCTGAAACTTGCATATATTTATGGAAAAATCAGGTTTTGATTTTAATATTTTTTTAGATAACATTTTTATATTTTTTTATTTGATGAATTTTATTTATAGTTTGATAAATTTTGTTGATAGAAATAGATAATAATAAAAAAATTAAAAAATGGTTTCTGTAAAAAACTTTTAGGAAAAGTGAAAAGTACATACATTGACATTATAGCCTGTTACCTTTAGGAGTACTGCTACATTGACTGAGGGTTTAGTTGGGGTAAGGATTAAGGTCAGGGTTAGGTTTAAGGTCAGTTAAGTCAATTAAATCAAGTAATACTAAAGCTTTTAGTTGTTCTTATAATTCTCTAATTCTTTGGTTTACAAATGATCAAAATATATGGTTCCCCTCTCTATCAGATCGATGCCCCCCCCCCCACTTAGAAGAGGGGTGGTGGTTCTTATGAATTTTTACGTCTAGTATTCACCTATAATAAAATAGAATTTAAAGAAATAACACTTTTAATTTAAAATTAATTTAGATATTTTGATTTTAAGTATCTAAATATCTAAACTAAAAACTGGAATGGCTGAAAATTGGACTGAACAAGCTGCCTATATTTTGCCCATTTATTGCAGACAGTAGTAGCTAATCAAAAAAGTTACCTGTAAAGTCTTGCAGATGAAAAGTTAAATACTACAGTTAATTTCATTTAGGCATATTTTAGCAATTTTTCGACTTTTTACAAAGTTGAGTTTAATTAGAGAACTATCCAGAAAACAGTTCTAGAAAAAATGATTTCATTAAGAGAATTTAAAAGACTAAAATTCTTTTGTTCAAATAGATTTCTTTTTAAATAAAATACCTTAAAACAACATGCATATTTATAGAAAATGTTTAATCTTGATATCGCTTTAAATAAAATGAAAATATAAAAAAGTTGTCATGTTTTTTATATTCTGTTTGACAATTTTTGTTAAAATAATATTTAGTTAGAATCTTATATTATGTGTTAACAACATATAAGATATAAATAGAAATATTTGTATGGCTAACTTTTGCGAGTCTTTAAGTATATTTAGTAAATTAATCTAATCTGTGCCGCCAAAAGGTGTGTATGGGGGGGGGGGGGTTGAGGGATCTCCAAGGGGCACCAAATGAAAAGAAGGTACCTAAAAAATAAATAAAAAGATCCATCATATATAATATAGGGAAGTTTTGATAAATAAGGGTACCAATCAGGGTTGCTGTCCCAGGCAGCGTGATGGCTCTTGGGGGCCCTGAATGTAATTGATAAGTTAATATTTGAGTAACTGTAAGTTACTGTAGTAATCTAACCGGTTGTTTTGATTTAGTTTATAAGTAAATTTATTGTGATTTAATTTATCCATTCAGTAAATCAAAGTAAATATAACTTTAAAAGGTTCAAGGTTGTTAAAGCTAAAATAAATTGAAGCAAAAAAGTTGCTGGTTTATATTAGCATTGATTAAATAATAGAAATTTTTTAAAATAAAAAAAAATAATGTATATTTTAATATACTTAAAGTAGTAAAATTAGTAATATAAAACTGTTGATGAAATAATCATTTAAATTATTAATAATAAGTTAATTTGGTGCAACGTTTTTTAAACAGAGATGAAAACCAGGCTGTTTTGTTAAAAAAAAAGGATGAAAAAAAATTCTTTTTGATGTCTTTTCTATTTTCAACTTTTTGCTTAACGACTTTTTATAACATTATTTGCTTCCAGGCAGAGATTTAAAGTAAATTAAATTCAAAAGTGCTTTACTTTGAATGAAAATCTCCGCGCAAAAGAGCAAATGATCTGGTTTCAATTCAAAAGATAAATTTAGCGCAATGTACTTTATGACAAAAAACATTACTTTTAAAAATTGCCAAAAAAAAAAAGCTAAGTTAGAAAAAAAGTAGATAAATAACCAAAAAAAAAAACAAGTTATACTGTCATTATTTGAATCAAGTATGAAGTAATGGTTAATGGGTGAGCCCAGTTCACATTGTTAAAGAAGGATTTCATATCTTACTTGTAATTAAGATATGAATTTTAAATTGTGTAACTTCCACGATTAAAAACATGTTTTGGTATTGTTTAAGAACTTGAACTGTTATGAGCTATTGAATGAACTAACATTTAAGTCAGTACTAGATAATTTTTTTTATAGTCTTTAAGCATCAGATTATACTTATTGTTTAATTTTATTTAAATTATTTTATTTAGTAAGAATCAAATCTAGAGTTATTGTGAAAATGCCATCTTTTATTTGAAAAGTTAGGGTGTTGATGTGTTGAGTTAGAAAAGCAATGCTCAACTGTATTTACAAATGCATGATCTGGCAACCCACTTATTTTTAAAAAGTTGTTGTACTGTTTAATAGTTGTTATTCTATTTTTCCAGAATATTTTAAAAAAGTTAAAGTCTCCTATTACAAGTACACAATGGTCATTTTAATTATCTAGTTTATTTTTTGCAGCACAAGTAGACTCTTTTATCTCTATATCGGTATTGCTGTTCTGGGGTTTCAAGGTTCATACATTAGTAATTGGAATAATCTATGTTACTTGGAAAGTTTGTTTCTGCTATGGATTTCTCTGTCAATTATATTTTCAATTAAATTTATGACTGGATTCACTAACTTGGCTACATTACAGGGATCCTGTTCTAATTGAAATAATAATAAAAATAGTTCAAAAATGTTGTAACCAATCAGAATTAAAAACCTTAATATTATTTTGTTTTATTATGCTTTATGGTTGCCATTTTTTTGTTTTTCTTGCACTAAATCAGGCAAATTTTTGTGAAAGATATTTTTATGGTCTAACTAAAAAGTTTATGCTGTTTAAAGGGATCCCATAGTGCCGTGACAAGTTGTTCTTAAAGAGAGTTATTAAAAAAGGTTTTTGGGCTTAATTTTTGAAAGTAAAGTAAAATAATAAAAGTACACCAAAAAAAAACTAACTTTGTTGTTTTAAATAAAGTTCCCTATTTCCAGACTTTATAATTTATTCAAGCACATTTAAGTTTTAGTATATAACATCATTGTCTGATTTTTTTTCTTTTTTAAATAATTTTTTTTTTCAATCAATAAATTTGTTTTTGTATTGTTTTTTAAAGTAAGCATTTATCATCAATTGTATGACTTTCGTTTAAATTTTATAATATGCTAAACAAAAGAATGTTTTTTTTTTGCAAATAAAATTAAGATTTTTAAGTTTAAATAAATACATATATAAAAACCTTGATCACCTTGTTATATCAGGGCTCAATTTAATGGTCAAACATTCTTATATTTTTAATTGCATTTGACAAAAGTTACTTAAAAACATATCTTTTAAAACGTTTAATTAAAGTAACGCAAAACACTTTTACAAATTAGTTCTATTGATAGATTAATAAATGAAAAAATTTTGTTTAATTTATTGAGTAAAATTAAAGTAAAATTAAATTATTGAAAAGAAAAAAATATAATATTTCTAAGTTGTATAAACATTTTTTTCAAAAAGTTCAAATAAAAAAAATATTTTAAAAAATAACGTAGTCTTTTTTAAATCATAATTTTTAATTATTTTATGCTTTAAATTAGTCAAGTTTTAAAAAAATAACCTTTTAAACAATTCTTTGTTAAAATAGAAACAAAAAAAAAAAAGCGATTAAATCATCGAAAGACTTAATTTAACTTATTCATAATTTAAAGTAACTTAAAAAAATAATCTTTTAAAAGATTTTTAGATAGAAAAATAGTTTCCAGCATTTAAATTTATCATAAAAAATACATATCTCCTAAAAATAAAATTTACATGTAATTTACATAATGCATTTATTTTAAATGATCATTATAATTAATTTTTGATTTTAATAAAAGCCTTTGACAACAATTTTTTAAATTGCATTTAAGTTGTTAAAACATTAAACCATGTCCCTGGTAGTACCGCGCTTAACTCGTTTCTCCGCGCAGCGGCCTTGTTCGTCAAGGTTCATGTTTTGGAGTTATAGAGTTGAGAGAGGGTTATAACCACAAATAAGTAGCCTCCTTGCCTGTAGTGGCCTTTTCGGCCTTGAGGAGGTGAATTAAAATAAAAAAAACAAAAAACAGTCGTCAAATTGTAAAGAAAAAAATAAAATAAAATAAGCGTTGTCAGTTAAAGCGTGAAAATTTAAGTCTATATAAACAAAACATACAATATTAAATTGAAACTATTTTATTAAAAAACAAAATCTGCAATGAAATATTCTAAATAATAAGAAAGAAACTAGAACTTCATTAGACAAAGGTTAAATAAAACTGAATAACATGACAAAGATTGCGATTGCATAACTCGGTTTCCTAAAACTGTAAAAATTATAATAAAAAAATTTGATCAGACAGAAGAGTTAATCCTAGAAGATGAAGGGTAGATGACTCATCAAGTACACTACCGTTCATAAATATAGAAAGATCTAAATTATTGCGCAAACGTTTACTAAAACATTAAGTTCTAAACAAAACTTATTTAATGTATTAAAAAAATGTCTTTTGTGATTTCTGAGCTAAATATTTAAATACACTTCTACACTTTCTACTGCTTCTAAATACTTATACACTTTTACACTTTCTACTGCTTCTAAATATTTATACACTTCTACACTTTCTACTGCTTTATTTTAGAACTAAATTTAAAGAAGTTTTTTTTATGAAAGATTGTTCAAGATTTTTTAACTTTGTCAAGTGATGATTTTTTTTTATAATTTCACAATATGACTCTTATTTGTTCTTAATTATGTAGAGAATTAGTTAAACCTTAAGAACAAACAAGTTATGTGAAAACTTATGTACAAAACAAGATAAATTGTTAAGCATGCTCGAAAGCTGCTACCAGTGGCTTGCAATCAAAATTTTAATAAATCAAAAGCCGCTGTCAGCAACTTGCGGTAGTGAAAAAGTTAAATAGTACAAAATAATTTTTTCAACAAAATCTAATTAAGGATAATAATCATTTAATAACAATAAATATAAAACAAAAATAATTTATGGCAATAAACAAACTTAAAGTATCTGAAATATTTTATTCATATTTTTAATGCGAACTTCATAAATATAATTAAAAAATAATAATTTAAAATAACTAAAAAGTAATTTATGATGAAAAAATACTTTTATATAATAATAACTAATCAAATTCTTTAGTAATCTATAATATTTAAAAAAAAGTTACGCTAAAAACTTTTTTGTTTTTAGCATACCAGTGTTTAAGTTACGCTAAAAACATACAATTTATTAACCCTTTATTGAAAGTTATTAATTCTTTAAAAAATGCACATTATTATTTCAAAAGTTTGAATGACAGTTCCATAAGATATACTTGTTATTTACAAATGTAATAAGTTCAGATAAATTATAAAAAAATTGGTACTTGTTAGGCCAACCTTTGTTGATCAAAATTTTCAGCAACAGAAAATAAAATTAATTGTTTTTATATGAAGTTAATAAAAGTAAAATAAAATAAGAATTAATAAAAGAAATATAGTTTTTCTTTTTTTAATTTTTGATCTTGCAAGCATATTTATTTCAACTTGTTAAGTTTATTTGTTACTTTTTTTTTTTTAAATTATAATTAACTTAGTGCTGCTTTAAATTTTGTTTAAAGTGCGCTTATTAATAAATATTTTTTTTATAATCAATTTCAAATTAGAAATTAAATGAGTCATAAATGTTGCTTATATTTTTTAAAATTCTAATTTAAACCTATAAAGCTTTTATTCTTCCTTTTCAATTCATTTTGCTAAAAATGAAATTCTTTGTAATCGTGTTCTGACAATGTATAAATGGATTTTTTTTTCACTCCCCATCAATCAATTTTTTTTCATTTAATCAACAAAATTGACCCTTTTGGACAAGTCAGTCAGGAAATGTAGACCCTTCAGATAAGTCAGTTGGTAAATTTAGACAGTCAGCAAATGTTGATGTAAGTTTAGACAGTCTGTAAATGTAGGCAGTCTGCAGAGTTCAAAAAACAACCTTTTTTTTTGTTTATTCTGCAAAAAATGATACCCACCCCCCTCCATGTGACATCTAATCATGCCAGTTGTAGGTCTAGAAAATACTCATAATTTTCTGGTACTTTTTCTGGGAACTTTTGATTCTCAATTGTCATGCCTCTGTTGCATTCTACATAGAAATGATTTCTAATGGAAATAAAACAATTGTGTTTTTAAATCATTCTGTTTTATGAACTAGATAATAAAAGAAATACAAAACATTTTAATTTTTATTTTATCTAGCACACAAATTTGATATGCTTAACATTTTGAGGCAATTAATAATAAGAAAAAAAAGTTAGAAATTGTGTGGATTTTGAAAAAAAAAAAAAATGTGGATGAGAAAGGAAATTTGTCTAGGTTAGTATTCATCTTGAGTTAAAAAGTCACTGCATAGTTTTGCACAAAGTGTAAGGCCAGGTTATAATCATTGATTGAGTGGCAAAGAATTTAAAAAACTATAAACAAAAAGTTATAAATTAGCTCCAGACTCCCCATAATGATACCGGACAACTGAAGTGAGGTGTTAACAGTGTCTTAGTTTCCCAAAAGGTGCCAGAACAAAAAGCTAAAGTTACATCTTTGTATGTTGAATATTTAAATTTTTTGAATTGTATAAAGCATGAGTTTATGACATAATTTTGCATTATTATTTGTATTAGCATAATTTGGCATAGTTATTATTGATAATATAAACATAATATTATCAATAGATTATATTCTTAACCCCAAATTAATGAAGGGATTAAAGCCCCTACATTAATTTGGGGTTCTAGATCTCCGGGGCTCTAAAACCCCCTTATTATTGGATTCTGGAAAATTAAAGAATTCTTTTACCCTTTAAACCAAGGTTCTGAAAAGAGTCCTGTAACCCTTAATGTAAAAAAGGGTTCAGAACCACACAGGGTTCCAGAACACCTTTTTACTCAAAGTGGATTAAATAAGGGGAATGCCTCAATTAAAGTACCTCACTCCAATAACATTTTCAAGTAACTATGAAAAATATAATGTGGTACTTATGTTTTTAGCGCAACAAAAAATGGGGATTATATAAACAATAGTTAATAAAAATATAGACAAAATGTTATATATTTTTTTATCTACCGTTTTTCTAAAACATTAAGAAATACTGTAACAGAGGAAAAATGATTCCAAAACCTGCTTGATTGTGTGCAACATAATTTGCATAGTTAAATTTTATAATCAAAATTGCAAAAAAGTAATGGCTACTGTTTAATTACTTTTTAACAGAAAAAACTGACCCTACCTTAAATGTGATGGCGTTACAGGTTTATGTGATCAAACAAACAAAAAGACAAACACAAAATGAAAAAAGGCAAAAAAGAAAGAATATTGCTTTTAAAAAGTGCCACAATATTCAAAACAATAATTTTTACACCTATTATAGCTGTATTTACAAAAATGAACAAAAAAGCATTTCTTTTTATGAATTTTAAAAGTTTGAACTATTAAGAGAAAAAAGTTCAAAACTGAACATTGAAATTTTTGCATAAAGTTAAAACTTTTGAACTCGAAAATGTTTGAACTGGTAGCCCTATGTTCAACTGATACCTAAGTTGATGGTACACCTAGAGTAACTTGTGCCATTTTATAGTAGATGAATAAATTTCTGGATCTTCCACCATGATAACACGCGCGTATTTAATTCAATAGACAGATAATTTTTGTAATGAAAGAGAAAAATATTTAATTTGTTTATTGATAAATTTGGCTCTTTTCTTTTGCAACTCCTTTTTTGCCAATTTTTGTTTAAAGTGCTGTTTACTTCTGTATCTTAATCTGCAGCAATACTGTGTTTTGATTTTATAAGCTTTTGGATTAATATTTTCTTTTTTTCAACTTTAGTAACCTTATGAACCCCTGGAATGTAAATTCGTCACATTTGGGCTCAGTTTAAGATCCCAAAAAGGTTTTAAAGCTTGACAGTGATATATAGTATCCCTGAATCCCTGATATATAGTATAGATATAGGTAGCAGAGCATGATTAAATATTGAAAAATTGCTTGAAGTGCAAAATAATTAATAATACCATTAAAACTACTAAAATTTATTTAACTCTTAGCCTAGATTACTTCTGTCCACATGGCAACGTAATGAGAAATCTATTAATGAAGAAGGTGTGAATAAGTCCATCTACTGGAACCCAGACTCTTCTGTAATAGCAGTAGTGGTAGGAATTATATAATTTTAATACAAATTTTAATATTATAGCTTGTAGAAAATAATAGAAATTAAGCTGAATATTATAGCTAAAAGTTAAATTTTAGCTGCTATAGCAATATTTTTTAGTATTATGAGTAACCTAGTTATAGAGCAATTTTTTTAGTTTCATTTATAGGAAACCTAGTTAAAACTATTTTTATGAAGTAATTATTGTTCATGCTTTGATTGTATGCAACTTTAAACTCTTGTTAATTTAAATTTTTAAATTTAAATTTTTTTTTTGTTTAGACTACTCAATGTTTCATTATTCTTTTTGATTTGTTTGAGATTTCAAAAGAATATGCTTATTATTTAGAGCCAGTCAAGTAAGTTTTATTTTTCTTAATTTGATGTTTCATTTGCTTTATTATCATTTTAATAGTTATTGAGTTTTTGTTTACTTTTTTATTAAAAATATTGCAGTTCTCATTTTGCAAACATTATTATAAGATAGTAATGTAAGATTTTCTTGCAATTAACAGCAATAGTTAATTATTTTACACAAAATAATTGACAATTGCAAGATTTTTTTAAATTGTTAAAAATTTTTAGTTTTATTACTCGCTGACTTTTTAAAAATATAAAATAATTGTTATTTTCAAAACCATAAATGCATAATTAAGAAATAAAACAAATTGAAATATTGTTGTAACTGTAAAATCGGGTTCTTGGCAAATTAAGGATGTACAACATGTCAAATATCACAAATATCAGCATGTTCTCATACATTTAGTCATAGAAAAAAAATGGTTGTGTCATTTACTATATATATATTAGATGTTTGAATAATTCTGAAAGGTCCAACTAATGACTTATAACTCATTCAGGTTGTTAAAAGAATGTCCAAAAAATGTTTTTGTTAAAAATAAGTTTTGTCCATGAAACACGTTTTCATGGATGAAACTTATTTATTTTTATAAGATGTTTTTTCAACGTTTCCTAAACGTTGAAAAAACATCTTATAAAAAACTTTAGACAATAAAACCTTAAAAAGACGTCTATAGAAGGTTTAAAAAATGCACCATGCCCACTGGGGTTTATGTTTGCATAAAGCAGGTCCTGTTTATTGAAGCTTATTTATCTGCTTATCTTGTTGTCAGTAACTTTAATGCATTTTGAAAAAGTACTTTTTTATATATTTGTTCTAAAAACTTATATTTTATTGATATCTCTTTATTAATTTAATTCCTTAATTTTCTTTAAAAGATAAATAAGTACTTTTAAAAATTTTCAGAATTAATAATAAATAAAAATTGTAGTAGATAGTGTAATCAAAAATTAAAAATTCTGTAAGTCTTCTTGCAATCCTTAACTCTATTATATAAAAGTGCCAATAAAATAATTGCTCAACCAAAAAAGTCAATTTTCAATTATTTTATTTTCTCATTAACTTTATAAACTTATAAATTTAAAATTCAAGTAAAAAAATAAATAATAAAGTGAGTAAAAAACATAACTAATTAACAGCTCTAAAGAAAAAGCTTTTAAAATATTTTGCTATTAAGCATAAGTAATTAACATTTAGTAACAAATTTTCATAATATTTTGATTTTAATTTTTTTAATATTCTAGATTTTAAACATTTATTATTGACATTGATAAAAATACTCCTTTAAATTTAGAAATTCCCAATTCCTAGAGTCAGAGTTTGTTGAAATCATCTTCTCTAAAAAGTCTAATATCATTGTAGGATGTATCTATCGCCATCCAATATGGATATTAATAAATTTAATTTTTCATATCTAGCTGTTTTATTTGAAAAACTTTCCCTTGAGAAGAATAAAACTTTTTAATGGGTGACTCTAATATAGATCTTATTAAAGCAAACTCAGAGAAAACATAAAGAAACTCCATTGTGGAGTATTTAAACACCATTGCCCCTAACAACTTTCTTCCTTTTATATCCTTACCTTATAACTTTAATTGATAATATATTTTCTAACTCAATTTTTTAAAGATGTGCCAAAGTTTCTAATTTATCCAACTTTTAAAAGCAAAAAAAATTATTTTCGTAAAAGCAATATTTTCCTTCGAAATTTCAAGAAACTTGATAGTAATCAATTCAAAAACGATTTCTTACAGATAAACTGGGATAAAGAAATAATTTTTTTAATGGTAATACAAATAAATATGAATACTTTTTCCGTAGCTTTAACTTTCTTTTAGACAAACACGCACCACTAAAGTAATCGTGGCTTAACTCGAAGTTTTAAACCATGGATTACTCTAATTTTGACCTCAATAAAAAAACGTAATATGATATTTAAAAAATTTCTCAAAACAAAAAATCTAATTATTAAACTAAATCTTGAAAAAACTTACAAAACCTATAGAAATTTACTTGTAACACTTATTTGACGCAGCAAAAAAAAAAAAATTTTCTAATTATTTTTCTTCCAACAGCAATAATTTGAGGGCTACGTGGAAGGGCATTAGAAAGCTTTTGAATATTCGTTTGGAAGATATTTCATACCCATCTTGTATATCTTCAAATAACACCATTATACATGATCCAAACAAAATATCGGAAAAATTCAACTTGTTCTTCATTTCAATACCTGACGAATTGCAAAAAAACACTCACTCATCCCATACTAACTTCTATGACTATTTAAAAACACCAAACCTTTGCTGTTTTTAATATATATAAACGACTTGTCTCACTCTATGAGCAATTCCACTGTTCTGATATCAATCTTCTATGCATAAATAAATTACCTACTCAGCTTTGTAAAAAAGTTAATTCAGATCTCCATCATTTGTGTCTTTAGTTAAATAGTAATCGTATCCCTCTAAATATCAACAAAACTAAATTCATTATTTTTCACCCTCCAAAAAAAATAATTAGTAATGATAATGTTAAAGTTAAAATTAACGGTAAAAGAATCTTTCCTAATTTATAAAATATCTCGGAGTATTTCTTGACAAAAATCTATCTTGAAATTATCAAATGATTCAATCAAATAAAAAACTCTCTCAAGCCAATAGTATGTTATCTTTAATACGACACTATGTTCCTAAAAACACTCTAGTATCAATTTACTATTCCATGTTCTCATCCCATCTAAGCTATTATTGCGTTGTTTCGGGGCAACAAGGAAGTTTTCTATTAAATTGTATAAACAGTTTGCAACGTGCTTCCATAAGAATTATGACATTTTCTCCTATTCAATCTAATATACAAGATAGGTTTTCTGAATTAAAAATCTTACAATTTCAAGATCTTATAAAGCTTTACAACTGTCTTTTTGTGTTTGATTTGCTCCAAAATAATCTGCTGGTTCGTTTAACAATTTTTTCATTAAAGCAAGTGATACACATAAATACTATACTCATATTACTATAAATGGTAATTTGAACCCTTCTTTTTTCAATACTGTCAAGTATGGCAAGCTCTCCATAAAACATCAATGTATGTCTCACTGGAACCAATTAATATCTTTTATATAAAAAAAAAGATTTTAATTAAATACCCTTTAGTTACTAACTTTCTTCTTCTCAATAGAAACCTAATTAAGAAATTTTTATGTGAGCAAATATCTAAAGAATATTAATGCTATCTTTTATTATTATTCCTTCAATATATTATTTAATTAATTACACTTATTTATATATTTTTAATTTTTTATATTGTTATTATTATTCTTTACATTGTTACTACTACTATTTTTATTATTGTTATTACTATTATTATTTATATATCTTTGTTTTTGTTGTCTTAATATTATTACCTATAATGATAGTCAAAGTAGTTCAATAGTTGCAGTAGCTTTATCATTATTGTTATAACTATTCTTTAAATTGTTTATTTTATAATTATTAACTATACTATAATTATCTTACTATTGCTTTATCATTTATAATTCTTTTTACATTGTTATATTGCAGTTATTATTTTTATTCATATTATTGTTACTATTATTATTTTTATTAATATTATTACTTTTAACTTTCTTTTCTTCTTCTTTTTTTTTTTTTTTTTTTTAAATCTTCTTTATTGTTATTGTTGCTTATCTTTCTTTCCTTTTTTTTTTTTCTTTTTTTTTAAGTGTCACTCCATTGACTAGTTTTCAACTATATGAGTGACACTTAACCTTATTTATGTAAATTTATAATTTATCATTGTAAATTTTCATTATTTATGGTTAAATAAATAGAGAAAAAAAAACATATAGAAGGAGGTTAGAGGGGGTTACTTAGAGAGAGGTTACTGCCATCTAAATACTTTGTATAGATTAGTCCTGATTTTATTTCATTTCTATTATTTTTAATATTCCTATACAATTTAATATTTAATATAATAAATTCCTACACAATTTAAGTAAAGTTATTAGAAAGCTATATTTTATGATTTTGTTTTTTCATTAAGCGGTAAATTTTCAGTTGAACAACTTCAAAAAAATGGAATTCTGAAACTTGAGCTTAGCTATAAAGCCGCAGTATTGCTGAAGGGACAAATTACAAGGTAAATATTTTAATTACAAGGTAGATGTTTTTACTACAAGGTAGATTTTTGTTATTACAAGGTTGATGTTGTTACTAATTTCTCATTTATAGTAGTGGTGATATTATATTTACAGGCTTGGTCGGGAAGCGGGAGCGATCGCTCTCGATTGCTGACCACGTAAATAATATTTAGTTGCGAAAAGCTGGCCAGATTTTTAGTCGTTTTGAGAACATTTTAAAAAGCAAAAAAAAAAAAAGCGACGAAGATTAATTGGACCGATGAGAGACAATTACAAAAAAAATAAAATTAAGCGATGTTTTTTATATAAAGTAACAACTTACGATTGTTTAAAAGGGAAATAAATATTCTTTATTTAACTAAGTTTGCAAGTTTTAGTTTTACTTAAGCTAAATTTTTTTATAAATAAAAAAGTTAATTTTTTAATACCTATTTAAGCGATTCTTCTTAGTAAGATAAACAAATGAAAAAATTAAATCATCGAATTACTATAGGAATTAAATAATCAAGATAGAAATCAACTAAAAGGTTCAAAATACTTAATGACCAGGAAGCGAAACTGCTTCGCGATATCGCTGATGATGTTTAGTGAGTGGGCTTTTTAATTTTAATTAGTATTTAAAGCAGAAAAAAGTATAACGAGTTTTAAGAATGGCAACTTAAGCGAAAATAATTAGAGTAAGTAAACCAATATCTAGAAACTTTTCTTTATATCTAATTATTTGATATATATATTTGTGTTCTGTCGTGACCTCAGGCGCGATGCTTGTTCATCCGCGAGTTACTTTGTATGCGTTTTTTGTGTTTAGTAACCAGAAACTACTTATATGTTTGTTACATAATTAGTTTTATCAACTTTAACGATTATAACTTCATTGAAAACGCAATTATTTTTGTAAGTCTTTGTTTAAATCATAAAAATTGCTTTAAAAGATACATTACGATAAAAAACAAATACACAAAATTACATTTACATAAAGAATACAATCTCTTTTAAAATAAAAAATAAGAATATATTAATAAAATCTATGATTTATAATAAACTTTTAAAATTTTAACAATTTAATCAATTATATTTAAAACATTTATTTTCGTAAACAAATAATATATATTCTTAAAACAATGCTAGAAATCTCAAAACGTAACAAATCGTGTATAATACAATATTTTAAAACATTTTAACAGAATACTCTAGAACTTTATTTTGCTTAAACAGCGTATTTTTTGAACCAATAGAATTAGTTTGTTCGTTAATTTGGCGGGTTTTTAGTGTTCGCAAATATTCTTTTTATTCTTTCGCACAAAGATGTTTTGAGAACATTCAAGTTTTTTATGTTTCCATGTATGTCCGTAAAACAAAAATTTTTTGTTTCGTACATAAACTTAAATGTTCTCAAAACGACTAAAAAACCTGGCCAGTTTTACGCAACTAAATATAATTTCCGTGGTCAGTATTCGAGAGCGATCGCTCCCGCTTCCCGACCAAGCCTGTATTTAGGGACAATGTTATGAAAATAGCTTCACAAAAGGTAATGTTATTAAGTTAAAACATTCAAGTCCTTTTTTTTTCATTTAGTGCTTCACCACGTTCTGATGAACTTTTTATTACTACAGATGAAGGTTGTATTTATCGGCTATCATGGTATGGAAATTTGATTACAGAACTTGCAATCCAGATTAGCGATCTTATGTTCTGTGTTGATCTTGAAACTCCAACTAGTAAGTTTAAATGATTTTATAAATTTTCTTTATTTCTTATATATTCTTTATTTCTTCAAACTTAGGTTCATCAGTCATAAAAAATTGTGTTGTATTCATGTAAATCTTATCTTTTATCCACAGACATGTCTTGTATACAGTTACTATACTGTTGTCTTGTATACACAAACAGTACTATTAATATTGTATGTGGAGGCAGATTTTTTAAAATTAAAAAAAAAACTCATTGTGGTCTTCATGCTTATGTGTTTCTAAAATTTGTTTGCAGTCTTCATATTTAATACTCTGGTTAAATCACATTTAACTAAATAGATGATGATAATAATCATCATCATGCATCATCATCATCATCATCATCATCATCATCATCATCATCATCATCATCATCATCATCATCATAATCATCATCATCATCATTATCATAAAAGTTATAAAATTAATAAAGAACTTATTTCTGACTCGTAATTATTTATTTGTTTTTAAGTACTCTATTATTCTGCTATAAAACTGTAATATTTTTTAGGCTTGTGATTTGATCACCTATTTTCAAGTCCCCAAGCTTGTTAGAATACCTTGAGCCCCTTTCAACCAGCTATTAATTTGAAAATTGGTTTATCACAAGCAAAGCTATACAGCTGCTGTTTTATGTAATTTTTTTTATATTGTGTCAAAAGAAAGCATTTCTTTTGATGGCAATGTTTATTACTTATCATCAGATGGTCCATTTTTAGGAAAATTATAATTTCTTTCTTTTTAAGTTTTAAAACAAAAATTTATCAGGATGATCTGCAAACAGTCCACGCTTTTATTGGAAAGCTTGGACTGTTTACAGATAATCCTGTTGAATTTTCATATGGCCATTTATTTTTGTTTTAGCATAAGAATGATACAAAAAAGTAAACAAACATTCTAAGAGACACAGATGTTTAAAAATAATCAGTAAAAATAAATACAAAATATGTTTGTGCACAAAGACTAGGGTTCGTTTTTGCCTAACTTTAGAGTATCCATTCATCTTTGAGACATAATCATATTGTGACAAAGTCTTTCAAGTTAGCATGCAACTCACAAATTTTATAAAAAAACATTTTTCTCTGTTTTACAATAACAAAACTTTTTTTTTTATAACAAAAACAAAAGTAATAAAGTTTTTCACGCACTTAATGTGCACATTTTGCAATTGTATTTAACAAAACATAATTTTTTAAATAAACTATGGTTTGGTTGCGCTGAAGAATTAACAAATTTATTGAAAATGACTCTTGGTTGTATTATATTTACTCTATAATCTTGGCTGTAGTTTTTGGTAAATTTATTATCTTTATCGTTTTTTTTTATTTATCGTTTTTATTTATCGTTTGCATCATTTGTAGCAGAACTGTTTTTTAAATATTGCAGGAAACGTTTCAAGTTGTAAAACAAAATGTGTTTTTACAAAAATGTTCTGCATTATTTTTGAAATCTCTTTTTTTTTTTTTCATGAACGATTATTTAATATTAAATAATCAATTTTATATATATATATATATATATATATATATATATATATATATATATATATATATATGTATATATATATATATATATATATATATATATATATATATATATATATATATTTACATATATATGTATATATATATATATATATGTGTATATATATATATATATATATATATATATATATATATATATATATATATATATATATATATATGTATATATATATATATATATATATATATATATATATATATATATATATATATATATATATATATATATATATATATATATATATATATATATATATATATATATATATATATATGTATATATATATATATATATATATATATATATATATATATGTATATATATATATATATATATATATATATATATATATATATATATATATATATATATATATGTATATATATATATATATATATATATATATATATATATATATATATATATATATATATATATATATAGTATATATATATATATATATATATATATATATATATATATATATATATATATATATACACACATCAAGCCTTCCCAGGAAATGCGTGCGGTTTTTTGTCTTGTATGACCACACACGAGTACCTTATTTTAGACAACTTGAACACGGCCGTTCACATGTTTTACAATAATTAATGCTGAAAAAGTTTCAAAAACAAAAAAAAACAAAACTAAAAAAATAAAAAGAGATTAAAATAGAAAAAAATAAAAACACATTAATAGTTTAAATTATTTATGTACTGATTTTTTTTTTGTTTCTTTAGAGTGGTTGTTGTATTCAGCAACAAAATTAGAAAAGGCGAAGCAAAAAAAAAAAAAAACAGTTTGAAGTCTACAAATAAAAAGAATGATTTTCCTTTTCTTAACTTTTTTTTTAAGAGGATTGCAAAAATATACATTGTAATGTGTTTGTAAAATTTATTTGTATAATTTTAACAACAATAATAATGTAATAACAGGAGTTAAATTAAGCAAATGCAAAATTTGGAAAAATATCTAGTATTCAAAATTTTAGTTTATACAAAACCATGTTCCTTATTTTTAAAGGGCGAATCAACTTAAATTTGTAAGCAAAAAATAAATAAAAAAATAATCTTACGATTACAAAAGTAATAACACTTGACACTAACTGCATTACAAAAGTAATAACACTATAATAGTGTTATTACCTTTATAACGCACTTATAACTTTTAAAATTCTTTCTTTGTTCAAGCAACATAAGTATTCCCAAATTTTAATTGAAGTAGAAAAATATCTAGAAGAATAAAGTGGATGTTCAAATAATATTTAAAACTTAAATAACTTATAAAAACGTGACAAACAACTTTATAAAAACGTAACGTATTAAAAGTTTAGCACTATGAAAAAACGTTACTAATGGACCATAAAAATGCGCGTTAATTTTGAAATTAACCAATAAAAATTTTTTATTGGTTGATTATAAAATTAATTCGCATTTTTATGTAACGTTTTTCATAATGCTATACTTTTTATAAAATACTCTTTTATAACGTTGTTAAAGTGATCTGTAAAAGTTCCTGAAATTTTTATTAATATTTTAATATCCGCTTTATTTTTTCTAGATGCTTTTCTACTTTAATAAATGTTTGGAGTTAATAATGTTTTTGAACAAAGAATGAACTTTAAAAGTAATAAGTGCTTTATAAATGTAATAACACTATTATAGTTTATAAATGTAATAACATTATTATAATTTTTTATGCAGTTTTTAAATTTAAAACTTTTTTCAGCGATTCATATAATAAAACTTGCGCCAATGGCCATGATCAAGTTGTCTAAATTAAAAAATGTTTTTGTAGTCGTACAAGACGAAAAACAGCAGGCCTTTCTTGGAAAGGCTTGTACATATATATATAATAATAATAATAACAATTAAAGATTAAAGTGCCATTATTTACAACAATCACAATAGTGATGTAATTCAGAAGCACTAAACAAGTAATTATGAGTCTGAAAAAGGGTTCATAAAAGTTCATATTTTAGTCTTTTTTTGAATGTTTCTATAGAAGTTGAGTTTTGTTTGTTCAAAGATAAACCATTCCGAATTCGAGGTGCAGTCATACAAAAAGATTTTGAGCCCAGGTAGGTTTTTTGTTGACGAGGTGTAAGTTGGCAACTGTCTAATGATCTTGTATTTTGTTTTGAAGTTCGGACTTCTAGGAGTTCAAATAAATATGCAGGAGATTTTGATAATAAAATTTTATATGTGATAACTGATATTTTATAGATTATTCTTTGATGTATTGGTAACCAATGAAGAGATTTCAGCAATATTTCTGATTTTAAATCAAAAGGAGAATGGAAAACAATACAAGATAAATTATTTTGAATTCGTTGGAGTTTTTAAAGATTTTTTAGATAAGTGCCAGATAAAATGCTGTTACAATAGTCAAGATGAGAGTTAATGATGCTACAAGCAATTATGTTTGTAGCTTCTTTGGTCAGACATGGACCAATGTGGTGAAGTGCACCAATGTGGTAATTGCAGGATTTAATAATATTGTTTATGTGCTTGTTCAGAGAGAGCTTTGATTCTAGGGTGACTCCAAGGATTTTTACTGAATTCATTGTAGTTATTGTGGTTCCAGAAAACGCAATATTTGAATCATTTTTATATTTGCTAGTTTGCTTTCTAGATCCAAATAAAATAGCTTCTGTTTTATTTGGATTAAGCAGAAAGCATTTTCTAGAAAAAGCATTTTCTAGAAAAAGCATTTTCTAGAAACCATGTTGTTACTGCATTAGCACACTCAGTGATTTTGTTGATGCTATCTTTGCCAGGGCTGAGGAAAGTATAAGGTATCATCAGCATATTGATGATGATTTGTACCAAATTTAGCTATATTATGATATATAGATGAAACAAAAATAGAAAATAGAAATGGGTCTAATATACTACCCTGTGGTACTCCTGTTGAACTTGCTATTAGTCTAGAATTTGATGATCCAGTAGAAACATATGATTTTCGAGAGTGCAAGTATGATGTTAGCCATTTTAATGCAATATCTGTGACACCAAATTTATTTTTAATACAGGTAATCAGCAGGCTGTAATTGATTGTATCAAATGCTGAAGATATGTCCAGAGATAGGAGAATAGTGGTCAAACCATAATCAATGTTAAGCAGGATGTCATTGCATATCTTTAAGAGTGCTGTTTCGGTTGAGTGATAAGATCTAAAACCAGATTGTAGAGGATTGAAGTTGACAGATGATGTTACCTGTGGATGAAGACGAGATAAAGTAAGCTTTTCAATAATTTTTGAAATTGTATTGAGATTTGATATGGGACATAGATTTGTTAAGTCAAATTCTGCTATTCTTGATTTTTTGGGAGTTGGTGTTATTTGAGCAACTTTATATGAGGCTGGGAAAATTCTGGATTTGAATGAGAGGTCAGCAAGGTGAGCTATAATTGGACTGAATATTTCTGAACAAGATTTAAAAATGTTTGTTGGAATAATATCAAGTGGCGATGTCTTAGGTTTGAGAGTTTTGATTTTTTTTGACACATCTGTTGGTGTGACTGTACCAAATGTTAATATATCTACAGGGGGAAATAACTCTGAGATTAATATAATTTCGAGTTACCGTATGAAATATTGACTGATTACATCCCATTTTGCTTCTGGTATTGTGTTATTAGATTTAGAACTATTCAAATGTAGTAATTTCTTTCTTTCCATGTTTCTTTTTGATCAACGTATGCTGAATTTAGTTTCGCCTTATAATGACTACATCTGGATTTGTGAATTGCTGCTGCAGCCTCACGGGATTCAGTTCAATATAATTTTTTATCTGATAAACTACCAGTTTTTCTATAACAATGCTCCAGTTTACGATGTCTGATTTTTTTATTCTTGGCATCTGAAGATAGCCATTTATCATCATGTTTAACAATTCGCATTGAATATTTTTGAATAGGTGCTAAATGATCAAGAACAGTTGTTATACTTGATCTTATTTGTTCAGCATAATCATCCACGTTGTTTTCAAGTGATAAGCAACATGGCATCACCTGCAATTTTTTTATAAAACAATAACAAGTTTAGTTTTCTAAAGTTTCATTTTGAAAACCAAACAGTTTTAGTATTTAAAGGTTGATGATAAAGTTCTACCCGAATCGTAAAGTGATCTGAAATACCCTCATCAGTTACTTGGATATTTTTGAATGAAATATCATCATGTCAATTTTTACAAGATCAAGCAAGTTATATCAGTAGTACATGATATTCGAGTTGGAGATTGCAAAAAGATTGTTGATAGTATTTGTCAGATTTAGTTTAGCTGATGTACGTTCATAAGACAGACAGGTAGATGATAATGAGAGTGGTTTGGTATTTAAGTTTTCTCTATATATTATTGCAACGCCTCCTCCACGATGGTCTGATTGGCATTATTGAATTGTTTTAAAGCCTGGTGGGGCCATATCTTCTTTAATTGCGGTAGGGTCATCTGACTTTATCTAAGTTTCAGTAAGTATAAAAATATCTAGAGAATGATTTTGCACTATATCATGATTGATAGCAGGTTTTTTCATGGCAGATTGAACATTTTGGATATCCAAGTTTAATGCAGAGGTTCTTTTAACTTTTATATGTAAATTATGCCGATTTAATTTTGATCCATTTGGATTCACCTGATCGTATACCCCAATAATATTTTTGTCCATTGTGCACATTGTATCATTGCCTCCCATTTGTTCCCTCAACCCCTTGAGTAAGTGCTGCATTTCTAGTATTTCTAACTTTTCTGAGTTCACTTTTGAACAATCTCTTGTTTGCTGTTTTGTCTTTATTAATAAAAATATTTTTGAAATTAATACTATCCTTTAACTTTTTGGAATTTTTAATTATAAAATTTTGAGTTTCTTTGTTCTCTAATTCAACTAAGATGAGGTCAGGTGGTCCTTCTGGTCTTTTAGCTTTATTAGTTAGTCAAATTATTCTTTTTGCATTAGTTATTGAAAAATCTGGTTTAATTGCTTTTAGTATTGTTTCAATGGTTTGTTTATCATTTTCTTCATTAACTTGTTTGTCAAAAGTAGTATGATCAGCAACTCCACTTATAATGATGTTGTTTTCAATTCTTTTTTTTATTATTAAACTCATTTGTAATTTTTGCCATCATTACCACTTCAGTCTCTTTTGGTTTTAATTGATTTTTCTGAGTTGATGTTGCTTGTGCATTTGTGAATATTGTTGTTAGTTTATTTATTGTTGCTGTTAAGACATTTATCTTTTCATCTTCAAGAATCTTAAGTCGTTTTAAAAGGTCTAAAACAATATATGATATTTTGCCACACCATTTATGCATGTTTTTGGTAACTTCAGCAGATGCGCTTAGAATTGGTCGCCAATTTGGTTCTTCTAAGCATTCATAGTCGAATTCCATGCTTTTTTGTATTATTTTTTTTCAAATATATGAGAGGACTACTACACTAAATAACAGTGGATTACCTCTTGATGTCTTCTGAAGGAGGGCTACAACCCTGAATAACAGTGGATTACCTCTTGTTTATATATATTAACACAAATACTGTAAAAAGTTCGAATGTATTTTTTCGGTTTTTTTATAATATCTTTATATATGTTATGTATATAATATCTATAAAACTTTAAAAGTGTTTTATTTTTTATTTAAGAAAAATTGAAAAAAATTGAAAAAAAAAAGGAGCCAGTGGTAGGATTTGAACCAATGCTTTTTGCTTCAGTAGCCAAGTGGTAAACTTGGCTAAATCTGCGAGCTAACCACTCTGCCACGCAGGCTGACATATTTTAAAACTATTTAACAAACAAAAAACTTTGTAAAATGGAAATAAAACTTGATATATGATTTAGTATGTTTTAATATTACATAATTTGAAATTTATGTAAGTTAGATATTTGCATACACTTTCATTCACGTTTTCTTATAAAAAAATGCTGTGACTCTTTCTCGCCACTACCTTGGTTGCAATGGTTGCCAAGAGTCCTGTGTCAAACACGCTCAAAAGGGCACTAACACTACTACTATAAGGTTTGGCAATAATATATAAGATTCTTAAACATTATTGATATATTGACTTAAATAGCAATTGGATTTTAATTTTCCCTGGTGCCTTGAAGCCACATTTATTTTTGCGTTATTTTCATATTCATCTTCAAATAATGTTACTGAAATGTTACAGAGAATTTTTTTCTAGACGCAGTGCAAGTCTTTTTTTAATAGTAATTAGTCTACAGGATATATCTTTGATATAAAATACAAAAAACTTTTTTTTTTACTAGTTGGTTCACCGCTTGCTAAAAGTAAAGATTTATTTGTCACAAAAATTGAATGCAGTCCCATTCTTGGTGGTTTCGGTATTATTCTATCTGATGGTAGAGGTGGATTCCTCACCTCATCAACTGTTGAATCTAAAACTGAGGTTTAGTTGCAAACAATAATTTTTTAAATAAATATAATAGTTGTTTTGTTAAAATAAATGTTATAATTAAATACAATACAATATTTTTTGTAGTAATTTTTTTTTCCTTTTTTTTTTTTGTAGTGTTTATTATATTTAATTTTTAGAAGCTTTTAATTAATTTCTAGACTTGTAAAAATTTTCAATGCTTTTTTGAGCATTTAAAATTTTTCAATGCTCAAAAAAGAATGCTCGACTTCTTATTTTTCATTTACTCCTTATTTTTATACTTTTTCTATTTTTTTAAATAATAATTTTTGTTTTAAAAGTAATATTTCTATTTTAAAAAAATAGCTATTCAAATTATTTTTAGGTATTTTTTCTTAATAGTAGTATTATAATAGTTTTTTTTCTATTTTTTCTATTTATAGTATTTAAAACTGTTTTATATATAACATATATAACATATATAACAGCGTCAACCGTAATTGGAAGCTGCCCAAATTAAAAATTGAAGACTTTTTTTTTTCTTTTTAAGTTTTTTACAGCAAATATTGTTTTTTTAGCAAAAAAACATTGATATTTATATTTGGCAATATTTCCACTAAATTTTTCTAGAACGGAAAAATACCGCCGCCCATATTTTTTTCCTAGAATAGCCCCTGATATATATATATATATATATATATATATATATATATATATATATATATATATATATATATATATATATATATATATATATATATATATATGTATATATATATGTATATATATATGTATATATATATATATATATATATATATATATATATATATATATATATATATATGTATACATATATATATATATATACATATATATATATATATATATATATATATATATATATATATATATATATATATATATATATATGTATATATATATATATATATATATATATATATATATATATATATATATATATATATATATATATATATATATATATATATTGGATTTGCAAGAAGAAAAAATGATTAAGTTTTTTTGAAAAAAGATCAAGCAGTTGAAAATAGCTTTAAACTTTAGAGACATCTAGGCCAGTGGTACTAAAGACAAACTCTTGGATTGTCTAGTACCATTAACTTAGTACCACTAGACTCTAGTCCACCTGGCTCTAGTATCACATTCTCTGTGTGCAATATAGCATTTTGTATACTTTGATATTTTACAAATACTGATAGAGTCAGCTTTTCTGATACTTAATACATATCTTTGTAATCCTGCCCAGTCTTGGAACCATTAAACTGGATTTTTGAGCTTTATCTATGGAAAAGAAATACTCATACAGCCATTACCAGAGTAACATCAATATAACACAGGTTAATATCTATGCCAGCCTAATAGTTGAAGAATGGGTTTTAAGCTGGTCAACAAAAACTTTTTGTTAAATGTCTTTGCTTATGAGGCTTTGTACAGGACAGTTGCAAGATGCAATTTATCACTGCCTTAGACAGTTATTTTTATTGAAACAAACTCTACATGTTATTTGTGAAAATGAATATTCAAATAATAGACTATATTCTTGCATTTCAATTTCAATTGATTTCAAAAGTTTAAAGCATTTTTTTTTTCAGGACATTGTAGGAATATTTGCAAAGGATCTTACAAATGCTGTTTCATTGGCTATCAATATAAAGTATCAAATCATTGTGTTTGGTCAAAGCAAGTGAGTATTTAGTTATTGATTACTTATGCTATGATAGGGATATAGGGAAGGGTTATTCACTTGATGACAAAATACAATAGAAAACAGTATCGTCTAATATTTGATATAGGTTCTTAACCTTTTATTTTGCTGCGCACTATTTTTATGAGATGCGAAGTTTAAGAGAATAGGAAAAAAGATTGTTGTGATTTTATCAGCTTTAAGGAAGTTTGAGCTGATTCCAAAAACTTTATGTTAGATTTTTTTAAAAAGATCCCATTAGCATGATTTTTGTAATTCAATATGGATGTTTAATAAAAAAGTTTAAAAATAATTATATTTGTGTGTGTGTGTGTATATATATATATATATATATATATATATATATATATATATATATATATATATATATATATATATATATATATATATATATTTTTTTTTATTCAACCATATCAATAAAATTTACAAATTTCATCGTAAATTAATATAACTTGGTTAGGTGTCACTCATATAGTTACAAACTAGTCAATGGAGTGACACCTAAAAAACATAAAATTTTCATGAAAAAATAAATAAATAAATAAAAAAAAAAAAAAAAAAAAAAAGAAACAAAAGCAAATAAAAAATCCAAAGAAAAAAAACCAAAAGGAAAAACTCAATGTCTGTATATATAAATAAGAGAGAAAAGAAGAAAAGATTGTTAAACAAATAATAATGATATATGTAATAATAATAGTAATAATACAAAATAATAACAATAATAATAAAGTACCAATAATATTAAGAATATTATAATACAATATAAATTGTATGTACAAATCATAGATGATAATTAGATATAATAATAACATAAAATGTTGCATTAATAACACAATAATAAATAAATATAAGATAGGTAAATAATAAATAAAATAAAAATCAAATCACTTGTTCGTTAAGAGATTATATATTGAAGACAACTACAGTTGAGAGAAATTATAAAGAAATACACTCCAACAATATATTTTTAAATTGAATTCTGTTGAGCAGTAAAAAATTCGTAACAAGTGGATATTTTTTCTTAGACTTTTTTTATTAATGCAGGAATACACTGGTTCCATTGAGAAATACATTGTCAGGCTTGGTCGGGAAGCGGGAGCGATTGCTCTCGATTGCTGACCACGTAAATAATATTTAGTTGCAAAAAGCTGGCCAGATTTTTTAGTCGTTTTGAGAACATTTTTAAAAACAAAAAAAAAAAAAAGCGCAAAAGATTAATTGGACCGATGAGACACAATTACATTAAAAAAAAAAAAAAATTAGGCAAATAAAATATCTTTAAACGCGAAAAAACTTTAAGCTAAATAAATTACGTTTAGAACAACTATTTTCGAAACATCGCTCTTTTATAATTTTTTTTTATAGAATTAAGCGATGTTTTTTATATAAAGTAACAACTTACGGTTGTTTAAAAAGGAAATAAATGCTCTTTATTTAGCAAAGTTTGCAAGTTTTAGTTTTATTTAAGCTAAATTATTTTATAAATAAAAAAGTTAATTTTTTCAATACCTATTTTATGTTTCGCGTAGTTAAAAAAGTTTAACATATTTGAAGCAATTCTTCTTAGCAAGATAAACAAATGAAATAATTAAGTCATTGAATTACTATAGAAATTAAATTATCAAGATAGAAATCAACTAAAAAGGTTAAAACTTTACGACAAGGAAGCGAAACTGCTTCACAATATCGCTGATAATGTTTACTGAGTGGGCTTTTTAATTTTAATTACTATTTAAAGCAGAAAAAAGTGTAATGAGTTTCAAGAATGGCAACTTAAGCGAAAATAATTAGAGTTAGTAAACCAATATATAGAAACTTTTCTTTATATCTAAGTATTTGCTATATATATTTGTGTTCTGTCGTGACCTCAGGCACGATGCTTGTTCATCCGCGAGTTACTTTGTGTGCGTTGTTTGTGTTTAGTAATCAGAAACTTCTTATATGTTTGTTACATAATTAGTTTTATTAACTATAACGATTATAACTTCATTGAAAACGCAATTATTTTTGTAAGTCTTTGTTTAAATCATAAAAATTGCTTTAAAAGATACATTACGATAAAAAACAGCTACACACAATTACATTTACATAAAGAATACTTTTTAAATAAAAAATAAGAATATACTAATAAAATCTATAATTTATAATAAACTTTTAAAAATTTGACAATTTAATTAATATATATTTAAAACATTTATTTTTGTAAACAAATAATTCTTAAAACAATTTATGCTAGAAATCTCAAAACGTAACAAATCGTGAATAATACTATTTCAAAAACATTTCAACAAAATTTTTTGAACCAATAGAATTAGTTTTTTCGTTAATTTTGCGGATTTTTAATGTTTGCGAATATTCTTTTTATTCTTTCGCACAAAGATAATTTGAGAACATTCTAGTTTATTATGTTTCCATGTATGTCCGTAAAACAAAATTTTTTTGTTTCATAGATAAACTTAAATGTTCTCAAAACGACTAAAAAACCTGGCCAGTTTTTCGCAACTAAATATAATTTCCGTGGTCAGTATTCGAGAGCGATCGCTCCCGCTTCCTGACCAAGTCTGCATTGTTGTTTTATGGAAAACTTACCATATTTGATTGTGTTGAAAAAGGAATAGTATAACTTACTATTTTCTGTATTCCTGGTGTGATGATTATGAACTTCGTTTGTTTTAATAAAAAAAATTGAAAAAGGGCTTGGTGGCATCATTATTCTAATAGATGCGCGTTGTAAACTAGCAATGTTATTAAGTAAAAAGTTTCTTTTTTGACCTCAAACAATACAACAATAGCAAAGGGGAGAAAAGAATAAAAAAAAAAAAATCATTTGAAGAGTTTGGATAAAAACATAGTAACGAATTAGAGAAAGCATACTGTTAGCTCATGTAAGTTTTTTTTTTAGATGATACAGTTGATTATACCAAGATAGGTTTTCATCAAGATATATTCCAAGATACTTTATTTATTTTGATGGAAAAAGTTTTTTACGGTTAATTTTAATTTTAATATGATCATTAGTTTTTTGAGGGGAATGAAGTTACTATTTAACCAGTTACATAAGCGATGAAGATCTTGATTAACTTTTTTACAAAGAGTCGTGAGGGATTTGTTGATATATAAAAGATTGGTATCGTCAGCATGATGATGTATCATAGAATTTTTTAATGAACAAGATAGATCATTTATATATAATAAGAACAACAACGGTCCAAGAACGTAACCTTGTGGAACGCCATATTTAATAACTTTATGTGTGGATTCAAATCCATTAATTGAAAGAAACTGAGTGCAATCCATAATATATGAAGAAAACCAATGATTAGCAATACCATGTATTCTGTAGTAGTTTAACTTTTTTATTAGAATGTTGTGATCAATCGTATCAAAAGCTTTTTGAAGATCTATGAATACACCTCAAGCAAAAGAACCTGTCAATTGCACCACGAATTATTTCAGTAATGCTAATAAGAGCGTGAGAAGTGGAGTGATTTGAGCGAAACCCAAATTGTCGAATATGAAAACAAGCAGAATTATTCAAAAAGTTGTAAATATGAGAATACATAAGTTTTTCTAAAAGTTTGCTGACATTTGATAATAATGAAATTGGTCTGTAGTTATTACATTCAAGTTTGAGTCTTTTTTATGAATCAGAATAATAGAAGCAGTTTTTAAAATATCAGGGAATACACCGGTTGTGAATGACAGATTAAATAGTTCAGAAAGTACAGGAGAGATATCATTTGCAAGAGCTTTAAAAATAGGTATTGGAATGCTGTTAGGTCTCGAAGCCTTGCTGTTATTAAGAGAATGAATAATCGATAATACTTCGTTTTTGTCTGTAGGTTTTATGAACATTGAATTAAGATTAGGATTTTTAAGATATTTATTAAAGTCAGTATTGGATGAGTGGATCTTATTCTGTAAATCTTCTGGAACTGAAACAAAGAATGAATTAAAAGATTCCGAAATTTTAATGGGTTTGTATATCATGGAGTTGGTAGAAGATAAGCATGAAGGAGATAAGTTAACTCTCGAACTAATGTTTAAAAGATTCTTAATACCATCCCATGTAGATTTCAAATTTTTGGCATTGTCAGAGAAGAACTTAGAGTAATGGTTCTTTTTACTATGACGGGTGAGAATAACAAGTAAGTTTCGATATGTTTTATAAGATTTTTCTAGATTGAGTTTGTTATTAGGATTCTTTGCTTTAAGAAATTTGTTAAATATTTTATTTTGCATTTTAATAGAAGTCAAGATTTCTCGTGTTATCCAAGGTTTGAGACCCCTTGATAAGCAGCAATAGCTGACTTTTTTTAATGGTGCATGTTTATCTAAAAGAGAATTGAAACTTGAGAAAAACTCTTCAAATTACTAATTAGTCTTACCTTCGTTGACATTGATTACATTAGTCCAGCTAATTTTTGAGAAATCACTACATAATTCAACGTAATTTATTTGTTTTAAATTTTGACAAAAAATGCAGCTTTTACGAGTATTAATTTTGGTTCTATAAAATGGATGTATTAAAAATGTATATATATATATATATATATATATATATATATATATATATATATATATATATATATATATATATATGTATATATATAATTTTATAATTTAAATTAAAAAAATACAACTTTTTATGGTTTTTATGTATTTTTTATTTTTATTTTTATGGTTTTTGTGTATTTTTTAATGTATTTTTTTCATTTAAATTATATGAATGCAATTTGATCTATTTTACAAAGAAATATTGATCAGTCTTAAGCAGACTAGAGTTGTATTTTTAACAAAATACTACACCTATCAACAATTAAATATATATATATATATATATATATATATATATATATATATATATATATATATATATATATATATATATATATATATATATATATATATATATATATATATATATATATATATATATATATATATATATAACAACATCAATTGATGTTACTGTTGAT